CACCCGCGTAACTCATATCAATGCAACCGTTAGCCGTCATGACGCGCTGCTCCCGTGCTAAAAGCGTGACGTAATGTTGATCGAGTACGCCTTGATCTCATATACCTCCGGTTAAACATCAAGGTCAAACGATTTCTACTACAGAACCTTGGCACTCTATTCTGATCAACGGATGGGCAAACTCGATGTGTCCTTCCGCATGCAACCACCTTTTGTGGCTTACAAGCGCGACGTCAGCTTAAGAAACATGATGGTCCGTTCCACAGATGACGCGTTCCCGCGCATGTCAGCGGCCTCGATTGAACAACTGCAATTACATCAGTTCTGTCGCTGATACGCGGCACTAAGTCTTTTTTCCATCAGTGACCATTCCTACTTCTTTACATTGGTTAAACTGAGCTTTTCCAGCCTCTCAGATAGTCAGGGGGAAATGCACGCGAAATGTTCGCGGGGTGGAAAAAAGTAAAAAGGAATCGCTGCCCTGGCTATACTACAGCGAACAGATTAATGAATACTAAGCCATTGTGTTTGTCTCATTTAGAAATCGATCGGTGAAAACTGTGATGATACATATCACTTTTCGTTAACCTTTTTTTTTTATTTTTCAGCTTATTTCCCCCTTGCAGGAATATTTTTTTTGTACTTAACCCACCCCCACCCCCATAACGTTTCTAATGGTCCATCTCACCCTGCGCGCAGAACCTCCTAATTTGTTGAGTGACGCTAAGTGATCGAGCGGGAAGCGAATGATCAGCTCTACTGCTGAGAGGGTGCATGGTCCATCCCTGAGTTTTATTCAGTGGCGGATCCAGGGGAGAGGCTCGGGGGGGCTGGGCCCCCGCCTTATTTTTAGACCAAACTAAGGCCCGAAGGGTCGAAAAAAATTTTTTGGAGACCTGCACCCCCCCTTTATCTAAGGGTCTGGATGATCGCCCCCCCTTCTTATCTCAAGGTCTGGATCCGGCATTGTTATTTACCACCCAAACTATTACAATACGTCACCTATGTGGTCACTCTTCGCACTCTTCGGGCCCCCGCCTTATTTTTAGACCAAACTAAGGCCCGAAGGGTCGAAAAAAAAATTTGGAGACCTGCACCCCCTTTATTTAAGGATACGGATGATCGCCCCCCCCTTCTTATCTCAAGGTCTGGATCCGGCATTGTTATTTACCACCCAAACTATTACAATACGTCACCTATGTGGTCACTCTTCGCACTCTTCGGGCCCCCGCCTTATTTTTAGACCAAACTAAGGCCCGAAGGGTCGAAAAAATTTTTTTGGAGACCTGCACCCCCCCTTTATTTAAGGATACGGATGATCGCCCCCCCCTTCTTATCTCAAGGTCTGGATCCGGCATTGTTATTTACCACCCAAACTATTACAATACGTCACCTATGTGGTCACTCTTCGCAGTCATGGCAGGGCAGAGGTAGGGGGGCATAAAGAGGAACACATTTTACTTCTCAAAGTACATTAACAGTCACGATAGTTTTTATTGGCAAATTTTCCACCACCTCTAATTCATAACATATTCAATGAAAAGCAAATTTTTGCAACTTACGCCTGTACAAAAGAACATTTTATGAGTCTTTTAATACCTTGCCGATAATTACTACTAAAAATGAAGCAGATAATCGGGTTGATAGCACAGTAAGCGTTAATCATAAGTAGGTTACAGGAAAGTATATCTGAAACTACACGAGAAATGGGCAGACCTATCCTGATACGAGCTCGAAGGACAACAGGTATGGCGAAATAAAAACCATGGCAAACATCCAAGAATGAGGAAGGGACACAGCTTGGATCTGAAGAGTGGCGAACGGAGTGAAATTATTATTATTATTATTATTATTATTATTATTATTGAATTCTTCACTAGTGTAGAGCTGTTAGTTTATTCTAATGTGTTCAAAACGCCCATTTGAAAACGTATGTTGAATTAACGTCAAATGGATAGCAAAAATACAACGACAGGCCAAGAACATATTTAATGTGGCTCTTATCCACACGTGGAAGTGTAAAAGAGTCATCAGGGAGTGTTGTGGTCGAGAGCGCAGGAAATTTTCTAATCTACGAACGATAACAGTTTATCACTATTGTAGTTTTGTCTCTTCTTGGTAAATCGTTTGAAACAGTTCCAAGACTGGTTGCCCGCCATTCCCGGGGGAAGGATTCCCCATACATTACCTATACAGGTATGTGCCACCCAACGGGGTCGTGATTTGGAGACTCCTGATTTAGAACGGGGTATCCATTTCAGAGGCGTTTTCTATAACGGGGTATAATATTTCGAACGCACGATAGCTCCAGCTTTGTAAGCAGCCATTTAACATTATTCAAGGACAGACTGCTTTTAAAAATACGGTTCAATGCGTTAACAAGCAAACTGTTGTACTCTTGTTGCACGTGTGTTTTAGTGTGCTGGGCGGGCGTATTTTGGCGCGAGCCGCGAGCGCTGACTCCGCCATCTTGGATCAATAGGTGCGCGGGAGTCTGGAACGAGTCCGTAATGTACCCAAGGGGGATGGAGACGGGTTCGAAAGAAAGGGACGGGGGAGGAAAAGAAAAATCGTTAGCTTACGAGCGTGGTTCTTTGTGTGGTGAGAGATTTTGCGTCACAATTAACCGCATTGTATCCACATGCACAGGAAACGTACTCCGAATGATTATGAAAAAGCATTAATTTGATGTATAAGTCGAATAAACAAAGAAATATCTTTTTAAAAAAACAGGACTCTTTCAATTTAAAAACTTTCTAGAACGGAGTATAAAAAATTAGTCCATTTCTAGCCTGACCGGGTATCAGTGTTACGGCGAATTCTGCATCGGGGTATAAAAAATTGGCTCATTTCTAGAACGGGGTGCCAATTTGGAGTCTCGGGCGGCACATACCCACCCAAAAAATACCCAAGTGCCCCCCCGGGCCGCTATTGTCTGTCGCCTTCTGTAACGCAGACAACGCAGTATATGCATCGCGGCCATCAGTTCAGTTTCAAACGTTTTAAACTTTAATTTTTGTCCCCTTGCGAGGCGTTAGCACAATAATTGTGCTAATTGGACATGGCATAAACCTCCTGTTTGGCTTAAACCATTGCCAGAAATTAGGGACAAGATGGCGGTTGCGCGTGCGCACTAAGGCTACAATGGCTGCGAATTCGTATAAGAAAATGTATGGAGATAACGAAACTTTTTCAAATATATCGATTATAAGCTCACGGGTGTTCGGTGCCCGACTCGAAACATGTTAAGTGCTGTGTAACCCTTGCATCTGGGTTAAAAATAGCTAATTAGAAGTAGGTTTACTTACTTCCTGATGTGGCCACTTTTATTCCTTGTTGTACGCTCCATTTCTCCATACATTGTCTTAAAATCTTGCCGAAGTCATGCGAAATACTCGTCGATTAGAGGATAAACCCTTCACTGAAGTAAATTTGCCCGACTCGATATCACTTCTGCGATGGAAGATGTTTCCAAAACAGTCGTTAAAAGGACGATTTTTGCACTGCAAAATACTTCCAAAGGCGCATTATTTCCCTCAGTTTTCCATCTGTAGTCCAGTAATGGACGCCATGGTTGCGAATGACACATTTCGGTCGGACAAAGCTTCACAACTCCAAACCTCACCGAATCGCCATTTTGTTTGTTACTACAACTCCAGAGATGCTTCACGGGATATAAACTAGGTTCCAGGCATTCAAAAATCCTCGATTAGCCTACCAAACTTGGTTTTAAAACAAAATTGTCACGAAAATGTCACGAAAGGTACATCCGCGTACTGTTTTGTTGCTATCAGCCGCTCGGCCGCGTATAAACCTAACATTTTCTTGCAAGGTATTTAATTCCAGCTTTTTTCTTCGTAAAACAGATCCACAGAGCTCAAATTATTAAAAAAATCGCAAGGGATACGCTTTCCCTGACTACGATAGTTTTTGTCCGCCATTTTAAAAACGAGATTCCGCTGACAATTGATCACGGGCGCGAAATGTCCACGATTTCTGGCAATGTTCCTGTGTAACTTTTTGGTTCATGTATTTTTTTTTTTTTTGCAATGGGCGAACGGCGTACGTGCCACAAAAACATGCGGTTTTTTCTTTGCTCAAGTTCTTTTGACGACGTAAACATTACTGTCAAGGGGTGGCGCTAAAATTTCAACAGATGTTTATAATTGTCCGTTTTATTCCTTCCTTTTTTCGGCAGAACCTCTTCTATAACTTAGCGGTTCTGCAGTAATTAAGAGTTGTTAGTTGTACAGTTGTACTTCACCTGCCTACGCCCCCAATATCCGTCCCTGAGTTTTATTTACCGCCCAACCTTTAACAATACGTGGCCTATGCTGTCATATTTCGCAGTCATGCCAGACTTAATCCTCAGTTAAGTACGCCCAAGGTAGTCGTGGTGATTTTTTTATTCGCGAGTGTTCCACGTACCCCCGGGGGAGGGACTCCCATATGAAACAGACAGGGATGCTCGTCGTCTCGCTTAGGGATGTAAATTTTGGATTTTGGCACGTACCTTGTAAATCTTAACATATTCAATCAAAAGCACATTTGTGCGACTTAGCCTGTACAAAGGAACGTTCAAGTTAAGAGTATTCTAAGAACGTTTCGATAATTACTACTAAAAAAGTTATATTCATGATACATGTATTCACGCGAGTGTTCCACAAATCTCTAAATCTTAACATATTCAGTCAAAAGCACATTTTTGCGACTTACGACTGTACAAGAGCAGATTTCATGAGTCTTTTAATTACTACTATAAATACATTGATAGTCATGATACATTTATTCCCGAGTGTTCCACGAACCTCGCACTCTTAACTCTTCAACCAAAACCACATTTTTGCGACCTACGCCTGTACAAAAGAACATTTTATGAGTCTTTTAAGAGCTTTTCTGTAATTACTGCTAAACATGAAACAGATAACTGGGTTGATAGCACAGTACGCGTTAGCCATATAAATGGAGACTTCATAGGATATCCAGAAATTACGCCAAAAATGCGTGAAATTGTCCTGATACCATAGGATTAAAAGGTTGATAGAGTAAGGTAACCAGCAAAGCACAAACACTGTTACGATAGCGATGGACATTTGAAGCACGTTTCGGTTTCTTCTGTCCCGCTGTTGCTGACTGTTGGCAGACTGTTCACCTGGGTGTACCTGTGTCTTGAGCTTGATAACAATGATGGAGTAAAGAATGACTAGCAACAGCACAGGTATGAATTTAAACAGAATGTGGTAAGCTAGTTGGTAACTGACAAAGGATGAGGACTCTGCGAATGCTTTTTTCAATTTCTGAACACACCAGGTTCCCTCTGGGTGTTCAACTAGCTTGAAAGTGAACAAGTATGGCGAATTGAAAGCTACGGCAACTATCCACGTGGCGAGAATGAAGCAAGGACACAGCTTGGATCTGATGAGTGGTGAACGGAGTGGAAACACCACGGCTCCAAATCGATCCACTGCTATAAGAATCAGATTCTGAATCGAAACGGCAAAGGAAACTTTTGCAAAGAAGAAGACAAGCTTACACAAAGGCTTGGCCAAGCTGACCACCGATAAGAAACGTGGTGGTATTCAACTTTGACAGTTTCAAAGGTATCCAGAATATTGGAAACAGCAAATCAGATGAGGCCATGTTTGCTATGAAATAATTTATCGGTTTTCTTAAGTTTGGCGTTTTATAAACGATCATAACAATGAGAGAATTTGCGGCCAGTGAAACGATAATGAACAGACAGTAGGCAACGGTTCCTCCGATTTTTCACACTGTGGAATTTAACTGAGTGAAGCAGCTCGAAGACTCGCTGGATCCGTTCGCCGTTGAGTTCATGCTGAGCTTTGCGACGTATCTACGGAATTGTACACATGCAGTCAAGTAACTTTGAATTACTGCTCTGTATACTGCGTATGCTGTTTGAGTGGCAGAACTTTTATTGACAGTTGCAAGCCCCCCGCGAAGCCACAGCACAGCTGTCCTCCGAGGCCTTCAAAGAATGACTTTGTATTGTAATGTTCCGGCATTATCCGCTAACTGACCTTTTGACAGAAACAGTGGGGTATTAGTATGTTATAAACCAACCAGAACACTTCGTTTAGGTCAGGTGGTTGTATTTAGAAGTCGATTGAGAAGATGATTAAAAAAGTGTGTTTTAACACATTAAAAAATGATATCTTTGGTAGTACCATCATCAACTACACAAGTTTGACAGTTAACCACAGGAAGCGGAGGCGAAGCTGCCTTCAGGCCATTAAGCCCAGGGTTAACAGGTGAACATGAGGAAAAAATAAGTGCATATTATCACGTGTGCATAAAACATGAAGTTTTATAACATTTACTTCTCGATCGAGGTAAAAATGGGAAAACCAAAAGTCTGCTGTCGGCAAAGAGAAACTAGCAGAGGTTCTTCTGACAAGGGCTTGTTCAGACTTTTTTGACTGCTCAGTTTTAGTTGTTACAAACTTCAGTACTTTTTGGCTACAGCTCTTTTTTTCCGATAACGTTGTGACACTTCATTTTTTATATAATAGCGATTACTACTTTTAGGGTTCCAAGAGGGACGTTTAATGACGGGAGTCATTTAAAAGAGAAAGGACTGAGTTTATTGTCATTTATGTAACAACCTACTTTTCAAAACTAATATGCTTTCGGTGAAAATGTAAAGAGAGCTTATGAATAGCGGAATATCCTGTCATCATCAACGCCTGATAAATGATGCGGATGGTTTGCCGTGCATTTTTTAAATTTTGCCTGGAACGGGACAATCTTCAAAGGCGCCGCCGACAAAATTTTCCCCCTGGCAAAAACTAGACAAAATCGATTAAATACACTAAAATGTGTTTTTCTTGTCAATTATTGTAAAGCCATGATTCTTTCCATTAACAAATGCAAGTGTTGTTAGTTGATTTGCCAATTTGAAAATACGCATATTCGATCATCAACTACACTATTTGATAGCATACAAGAATCACTGACGGGCGTAGCTGACTTTAAGCCATAAAAGCCCAGGCTAAACAGGAATTTGAGGCAAAACTATAAATGCATGTTATCATGTGTGCATAAAATATGCAGTTTTTTTGCATTTTCTTCCCGATCGAACTTAAAATAGGAGGTTATAAAACACACGTTCTTCCTTAAACAAAAAGACAAGGCGTACGTGTTTCTTCCGTCAGTCTTTGACTGTTTTTAATTGCTACAACCTTCAGTATTTCATTATTAGAATTCTTGTCTCTCGATAATGTTGTGGCATTTTATCTTAAAAATGACCTGAAAACCCACCCGCGTAACTCATATCAATGCAACCATTAGCCGTCATGACGCGCTGCTCCTGTGCTAAAAGCCTGACGTAACGTTGATAGAGTACGCCTTGATCTCATATACCGCCGGTTCAACATCAAGGTCAAACGATTTCTACTACAGAACTTTCGCACTCTATTCTAATCAACAGATGAGCAAACTCGATGTGCCCTTCCTCATACAACCACCTTTTCTGGCATACAAGCGCGAGGTACGTTTAAGAAACATGATGGTCCGTTCCACAGAAGACACATCTTCTGTTCCCCGTGCATGTCAGCGGCCTCGATTAAACACCTGCAATTACATCAGCTCTGTCGCTGATACACGACACTCAGTCTTTTTTGCATCTGTGACCATTCCTCCTTCTTACATCGGTTAAACTGAGCTGTTCCAGGCTCTCAGATAGTCAGGGGGAAATGCACGCGAAATTAAATGTTCACGGGGCGGAAAAAAGGAAAAAGGAATCGCTGCCCCTGCTATACTACAGGGAGCAGATTAATGAATACTAAGCCATTGTGTTTGTCTCATTTAGAAATCGATCGGTGAAAACAGGAGCTCATCATTTTTCGTTAACATTTCTTTTTATTTTTCAGCTTATTTCCTCCTTGCATGAATATTTATTTTGTACTTCCCCCTCCCCACTCCCATAACGTTTCTAATGGTCCATATCACCCTGCGAGCAGAACCTCCCAATTTGTTGAGTGACGCCAAGTGATCAAGCGGCGAGCGAATGAACAGCTCTGCTGCTGAGAGGGTGCATGATCCATCCCTGAGTGTTATTCAGTGGCGGATCCAAGGGAGGGACCCGGGGGGCGCGGGCCACCCATTATTTTTAGACCAAACCGAGACCCGAAAAGCCGAAAAATTTTTTTTGGAGACTGGCTCCCCCCTACCCCATCTAAGGGTCTGGGGGACCTGGACCCCCCCCTATTATCTCAAGGTCTGGATCTGGCACTGTTATGCACCTATCAATGTAAACCCCGTGGGGGGAAGTGCGGGCAAGGGGTGGGGATTTGACAAATTTCAAAATTTTTTGATCAAATTTCCCAGGGTGGGAAACGAAAGGTCAATCAAAAGTGTCAAAAAAGACCCCATCCCAGGGGAAAAAAATCTAAACAGACAATACTATAATACAAAATAAAACGAATAAAAAAAACATTTCAAAAGTACGTTCTTACTACTTTTATATAAGGTTAACGTAAGCTCCGTTAAGTTACTCGCTGTAATTAAGTATTTTCTCTCTCCACCAGCATTTCTTATTTTGAACAACAAAATCACTCCAGGAAGATTGACCGTGCTGTTATAATATTAATGAAACTTAAAATGCTTTATAACATCTCCTCAACGTGTCGGAACAGGTCAGATCAGTGACTCGTAAAAAATCCTCTGACTTTCATGGTGGAATTCGATTTCAATTGAGTTTTACAATCAGATGGGAACTTGAAGATATAAACGTTTTTAAAATAGACATTATCGGTTTAGATGACAGTTAAAAGTATCGGATTATGGCGATTAAAACAAATGAGAACTCCATACCTTTCTCCAACAGCGTGACTTTCAGAAAGCCTCGAGGAACGGAATTGGTAACTGCTTCTGAATTGATACCAGGAATACCAGGCTTCTGTCGGTCAAAGTCAAATGTCCCGATCCCGGAGTCGCTTCGCAGGATCAAAAGCCCGACATGGGGATAGTCTCAGGCATCAAATCCCCGCCCCTTGTCCGCCTCCCTCCCCCCGCCCCACGGGATTTATATTGATAGGTGCATTATTTACCAGTGTTTGTGCTTTGCTGGTTGCCTTACTCTATCAACTTTTTAATTCTATGGTATCAGGACAATTTCACGCATTTTTCGTGTAGTTTCTGGATATCCTATGAAGTCTCCATTTATATGGCTAACGCGTACTGTGCTATCAACCCAGTTATCTGTTTCATGTTTAGCAGTAATTACCGAAAAGCTCTTAAAAGACTCATAAACTGTTCTTTTGTACAGGCGTAGGTCGCAAAAATGTGGTTTTGGTTGTAGAGTTAAGAGTGCGAGGTTCGTGGAACACTCGGGAATAAATTTATCATGACTATCAATGTATTTATAGTAGGAATTAAAAGACTCATGAAATGTGCTCTTGTACAGTCGTAAGTCGCAAAAATGTGCTTTCGACTGAATATGTTAAGATTTAGAGCAAAAACTACACAAAATCGATTAAATATACTAAAATGTGTTTTTCTTGTCAATTATTGTAAAGCCATTATTCTTTCCTTTAACAAATGCAAGTGTTGCCAATTTGAAAATACGCATATTCGATCATCAACTACACTATTTGATAGCATACAGGAAGCACTGAGGGGCGTAGCTGACTTTAAGCTATAAAAGCACAGGCTAAACAGGAGTTTGAGGCAAAACTATAAATGCATGTTATCAGGTGTGCATAAAACATGTAGTTTTTATGCATTTATTTCTCGATCGAACTTAAAATAGGACTCAGGTTATAAAACAAACTTCTTCCTTAAACAAAAAGACAAGGCGTACGTGTTTCGTCCGTCAGTCTTTGACTCCTTTTAATTGCTACAACCTTTAGCATTTCTTTACTACAATTCTTGTCTCTCGATAATATTATGTTGTGGCATTTTATTTTAAGAATGACCTGAAAACCCACCCGCGTAACTCATATCAATGCAACCATTAGCCGTCATGACGCGCTGCTCCCGTCCTAAAAGCGTGACGTTACTTTGATAGAGTACCCTTTGATTTCATATACCGCTGGTTATAATTAAACATCAAGGTCAAACGATTTCTACTGCAGAACCTTCGCACTCTATTGTGATCAACGGATGAGCAAGCTCGATGTGTCCCTCCTCATGCAACCACCTTTTGTGGCTTGCAAGCGCGACGTCAGTTTAAGGAACATAATGGTCTGTTCCAACGTCTTCTTAGCAGCCTGGTTCCCGCGCATGTCAGCGTGCTCGTTTGAACACCTGCAATTACATCAGTTCTGTCGCTGATACGCGGCACTAAGTCTTTTTTTTCCATCCGTGACCATTCCTACTTCTTTACATTGGTTAAACTGAGCTGTTCAGGAAGAAATGCAAGCGAAATGTTCGCGTGGGGAAAAAGGAAAAAGGAATCGCTGCCCCCGCTATACTACAGCGAGCAGATTAATGAATACTAAGCCACTCTGTTTGTCTCATTTAGAAATCGATCGGTGAAAACTGTCATATTATTTTTCGTTGACATTTCGTTTTATTTTCAGTTTATTTTTCCCCTGCATGAATATTTATTTTGTACTTCACCCACCCCCACCCCCATAACGTTTCTAATGGTCCATCTCACCCTGCGAGCAGAACCTCCTAATTTGTTGAGTGACACCAAGTGATCAAGCGAGCGAATGGTCAGCTCGGCTGCTGCTGAGAGGGTGAGGGGTCCATCCCTGAGTTTATACAGTGGCGGATCCAGAGGAGGGACCCGGGGAGAGACCTGCCCCTCCCCTTATCTAAGGGTCTGGATGACCGCCCCCCTCCTTATCTCAAGGTCTGGATCTGGCACTGTTATTTACCACCCAAACTCTTACAATACGTTGCCTATGCTGTCACTCTTCGCAGTCATGGCAGGGCAGAGGCAGGGAGGCATAGACTGGAACACATTGTACTTCTCAAAGTACATTAACAGTCATGATAGTTTTTATTGGCAAATTTTCCATGAACCTCTAACTCTTGACATATTCATGCATATCAAAAACACATCTTTTGCGACTTACGCCTGTACAAAAGAACATTTTATGAGTCTTTTAAGACCTTGCCGATAATTACTACTAAACATGAAGCAGATAATCGGGTTGATGGCACAGTAAGCGTGAATCAGAAAGTAGGTTGCATCAAAGTATATCTGGAAACTACAGGAGAAATGGGCAGAACTATCCTGATACGCTATCATTAAATGGTTAGTACTGAAAAGTAACCAGCAAAGCACAAACACTGTTACGATAGCAATGGACATTTGAAGAACGTTTCTGTTTCTTCTTTTCCGTTGTTGCTGATTGTTGGTCGACGGTTCACCTGGGTGTACCTGTGTCTTGACCTTGATAAAGATGATGGAGTAAAGAATGACCAACAGCAGCACAGGGATGTATGCAAACACAATGTTGTAAGGTAGTAGGAAACTGGCAAAGGACGAGGATTCTCCGAATACTCTCTTCCATTTCCGTACACACCAGGCTCCCTCCAGGTATTCAACGAGCTCGATGGTGAACAAGTCTGGTGAAAAAAAACTATGGCAATCACCCACGTGGCAAGAATGAAGAAGAGACACAGCTTGGATCTGATGAGTGGGGAACGGAGTAGAAATACCACGGCTCCAAATCGATCCACTGCTATCAGAATCAGATTTTGAGTCGAAACGACAAAGGAAACGTTATCAAAGAAAGGAACAAGCTTACACAAGGCCTGACCAAGCTGAGCAACGATAAGAAACGAGTCGGTGTGCAAGTTGGACAGGCTCAAAGGTATCCAGGATAGTGGATACAACAAATCAGTTGAGGCCATGTTTGCGATAAAATAATTTATCGGTTTTTTTAAGTTCGGCGTTTTACAAACGAGGATAACAATGAGAGAATTTGCGACCAGTGAAACGATAATGATCAGACAGTAGGTAACGATTCCTCCGATTTTCAACGCAGTAAAATTTAAGCAGCTCCAAGACCTGCTGGATCCGTTCGCCGCTGAGTTCATGCTTAGCTTAGCGACGTATCTGTTGAATTGTACACATGCAGCCAAGTAACTTTGAATTACTGCTCTGTATATTGCGTATGCTGCTTGAGTGGCAGAACTTTTATTGCCAATTGTAAGCCCCCTGCGAAGCAACAGCACAGCTGTCCTCTGAGGCCTTCAAAAAGTGTCTTTGTATTGTAATGTTCCGGCATTATCCGCCAACAGACCTTTTGACAGAAACAGTGGGGTATTAGTATGCTATAAACCAAGCAGAACACTTTATTTAGGTCAGTTGGTTGTATTAAGAAATCGATTGGGAAGATGATTAAACAACAAAAAATGCTACCTTTGGTAATACCATCATCAACTACACAATTTGACAGTTAAACACAGGAAGTAGAGGCGAAGCTGCCTCCAAACCATTAAGCCCTGGCTTAACAGGTAAATATGAGGCAAAAATATAAGTGCATATTAGTAAGTGTGCATAAAACATTGATTTTTATACATTTTATAACATTTACGTCTCGATCAAGCTTAAAATGGGAAAACCAAAAGTCTGCTGTCGGCAAAGAGAAACTAGCAGGTTCTTCTGACAAAGGCTTGTTCAGACTCCTTTGACTGCTCAGTTTTCATCGTTACAAACTTCAGTACTCGTTGGCTACAGTTCTCTTTTTCGATAATGTTGTGGCACTTCTTTTATATATAATGACCAGAAAACCCACTCCCTCTAATACCGTAAATGATCTCCTACACACCCAGGGCGTTTTAATTATTAATTTTAGGGTTTCAAGACTGAATTGTTTAAAAGATGGCAGTTTATTGTCATTTATGTAGTAACCTAATTTTCAAAACTAATATGCTTTCGGCGAAAATGTCAAGAGAGCTTATGAGTAGCGGAATATCCTGTCTATCAATAATTGTTACCGCCTAGATAGGCCTTCTAGAGATCCTTATCCGCGCTCTTTCAAATCTCAACTTCTATGTCAGAATCCTAGTTGAGGGTCAATGTGTTGTCATCTCTAATCAATTCGAACTTTTAAATGGAACTTTAAAACACTGAACAAGATGCAATGCTCAAAGTCTTGTTAATCAAGCAGGCAACTGAATAATTTGAATGATTTTGCTCTTTTTTGCTAATTTCTAATAATTTTTAAAATAATTTTCATGGGGGCGTCTACTGGACAAAGGATGTTTATTAGCGAGGGCGTCTAATGCAAACATAATATCATAGAGCGGCGGTTATTTAATAAGCCAAGAGGCGTTTGTTTGAAAGGGGACGTGAATTAGTCAGATTAATTTATGGTAACTCATCAATGCCTATTAAAGTAAGCCTTTTGTAGTTTGCTAGGAGATACTCATTAGCATTGAACCTTCAAATTAATTACATTGTCTGAAAGAAATTCTTTCTTTATTGCTCCTTTAAGCCCTTTAAAAGCTTTGGTTGTCCAGTCGAAATAACACAAGGGAAGCAATGAGAGAACAAAGTATTGGCTCCTAAACAAAATTTAAACAATAACAAGGCGGGAGAAAGGTACTAAAGTAACAGTTTCAAAA